CGCGCTGCCAGGTGGGGCAAGGGGGTGGGAGGCGGCGGCCGCTCTGCGTGTGCGAGCGGCCCGCGGTCCCGATGAAGGGGTAGTGCTTCTGTGCTTGGCTCGGTCGCCGGGCCGTGCCCTTGAGCGCCAATGGATTCAGCTATGGAGGGTTCGGTTACGGGTGTGATTGCGACGGTGGCCCCCGGCAGCACGGAGAGGGTGCGTGGGGGCGCAGGTGGGAAGGGCATTGTCATTTCACCGTATGTCCCGTACTGGTGCTAATGCTGTTCCTCCTCCTCGCCTCTCCCAAGCCCTGCGGGCTCAGCTCAGGCAAGTCTCCCAATCAGGTGTCGTGTTCTCTAAGGAAGAGCCAGATTCCCTTAGCACTGCCTGTGTTCCCAGCAGGGTACTGTGCCAAATCGATGTTTGCAGGTAGAAGAGGCTTTGGCCATAAAGCACGATATGCCAAGTGAAGCAGAGGGCACAGGAATCCGGACAGAGTAGGCCATTGGGATTCTGCTGTGTTTTTTATCATGCGRGTGGTGAGACCCTGGCACAGGTTGCMCAGAGAAGCTGTGGATGTCCCATCCCTGGAARWGTTCAAGGCCARGTTGGATGGGCTTGGAGCAACCTGGTCGGTCTAGTGGAAGGTGTCGCTGCCCATGGCAGGGAGATTGAAACTAGATGATCAAAGTCCCCTACTAACCCAAAGCATTCTGTTACTCTACACACTGTAAAGCACGTATATCAGTCAAACATAAAGTACTTCTGGAAATAAGAGGAAATGCATTGCCAGTAGTTGTAAAGCCATTCAGTCACAGTGCACAGCAAGTGCTCTTCCTGTTTAGGAGGATGTTTTTCCTGAGTAATTTACTTTGAGCTGTTCTGGTAACTCCTGCACCAGTGGAAACAGTGCTCGTAATGGGAGTTGAGAGGCTTTCTCAAAATGCTACCAGATGCTTATAAGAAGTGTGCATTTGATTTTGCATTAATGAGTAATTCCTTCAAACATTTTGGATTTGTGTYACCTTTCAGAACAGCTCTCTTGTTTTTATGGCTTTACACATTCATGCCTTCAGGTCTTTCTTCCATACTTCTAAAGTATCCTGGAATTTGCCTGCTTAYCCCAGACTCTGTGATTAGGGTAATATATGTGGATTGAATGTAAGATTTTTGATAGTCATGGGTATAACTGTCTCCTTAGTAAAAGGTTTATTCTGGAGGCTGAGTTGCCCCTGGAGGACTCATAGGTGTGTTGACAGGCACAGATAATAATGTCTTCTGTGCTTGTAAAGGCATGTCCTCTTGTTCAAAAGGCATTATTGATTTGATTGATTGGAGTCAAGGCCCTGAACTGGTGCTGGGAGGGGACTGAGGTCTGGCCATCATAATGGGAACATGAGGAAACAAAACATTACCAAGAAAAGCTTGAATTGCTTTCCTCTGCTTTAAAGAAGTGCAGACTGTCTCTGCATTCTCTCAGTAGGATAGAATATAGCCAAATACTTATCTGAGAGAAAGAATGAAGTTGAAGGTGAAAGATTTTCATCAAAAGGTGTTGGCCAGTTGTGCTTGTAACACCAAGTGAATGTAGGCTCTGTGGCTATATTGTTGTGGATAATGGAAAAKATATTGACAGATGCCATGTAAGAGAATGGTTTTCTATCTCTTTCAAAATATTTTTTCTGTGCAGTGCTGCTAGAACATGAGGCAGCAATCTTTTGTGCAGTGCTGCTAGAACTTGAGGCAGCAATCTATGCATGGAGCCTTGGCTAGGCTTCCATTTTCACTGAAGTAAGCTTGTGCTCAGATTCTGCAATTTGGTGATGTTTTGGAGATCCACTTATGATTACCCTGATCTCTAAGCATCTAGAGATTTTTGTAACCCTCTCAAGCTTTTGATGACAGAATACAGTCTCTAGCTATTACTGATGTCCTAGGACTTTAGCTTCTATATTTTTCATGTATCTGTAATCCTGTAGTTCTTCAGGGTCTAACTCTAGACTCTATATTCATTTACAGTTCTAAGCCACCGTTCTCCCATTTTCAGACAAAACAATTTCTCTCTAGGCTCAAAACTCAAGGACACCTTACCGTCTCAGGCCTCAGGATATGTAAACAGCAGTGTATTGGGGAGAGCAAACTTGGAGTAAAGTACTTCATTACCTGAAGCTGTAATTGGAGGATTAATCCCTGATATGCAAATGGACTTACAAAGTATGAAAAACCCATGACCTGCTGTCCATTTTTGGGTGTAGACCCTGGGTAGGCTGTGACTGCCCTAAATGCACCTGAAGGCCCTTCAAGATTGGGCATCATTACCACAAAAAGGTTTCTCAGATTTTTTTTTCAAGCAACTGCAGCAGGCTAATGTGGGAAAAATGGACGGTGAAGGGTAGTGCGAGAAGTGCCTCCTGCTCTCAACTGCTGCCCCAGTAGCACTGGCCAGAAGGGGGATGCCCACTTTTACTCTCCAGTGTTTGTCTTCTTCAGGTCTCTATTTTTTTCTGGGTTGAAGTGACCAGGAAACAACTGAGGCATCCAGGAYGCTAACTGCACATTGTTTGACTTGTGCTGGAGAGTGTTATTTCACTTCTTGGAAAAAAAAGTGAACTTGACTACATATGTGGGAACAGTGCCAAAGTGTTTTGATTAAACAGAGTGGATGRATTGCTGCTGATGTTTTCTGGGAGTGGGGCAAGCTTCTTTTTTGAAAGATTCCCTGAAACTTACTCAGAATTTTGCTTGGGTAGGTTGTTGTAGAAAGCTGACATGTTAGGAAATGAAAGTTTCAAGTACAGGTGAGCACTTTCAGAGTTTTCAGAATTTTATTGACAAATGAAGAATTACCTGAAATCTGTCAGGTACTGTTCTTCTAAAGGTATTCTGCCATAGCTCTTGGTAGACTTACACTTGTCTAGCTGCTTCTTGAACTTCCATAAATTTGCAGCATCCACACCATACCATGAGAAGAAATTCCATATGTTGCCGTCTGGTTCATGAAGGTTTTYGTTTACTTACTTTGACATGTGCAACCTTGGATAGATGTCTCCTCCATATGTCAGAAGAAAATAATGGTTCTTTATTCCCTACTTGGTTTTGTTATGATTTTGTAGACCTCTGCTATATCCTTTCCTCAGTTCTTTCTCTTCTCCCGAAAGAACCCCAACTATGATGGTGTTTGCTTGTGTGGGAGCCACTCTGGCTTTCAGTGTGAAAACCTTCTCTGTAAATACAAGTAGAGAGTACTGGGAATTTTACTGTGTCATTTTTAAGTGGGTTGCATTAGGGGGAAAACTTCTTCATGCAGTGTGGAGGAATAATGTACTGTGGGCTTGTACAGTTAAATTGTATTCTTTGACTTAGTTTTAATTTATTTTCTTACTACTTTTGATATCCAGTTTGGTTTGTTCACTGCTGGTGAGTAGATGTTTCCATCATCAAGCTGTTGGATGTAACCCCAACACCTCATTCCTGAGTAGTATAAATGAAGATAAATGAAAATGTTGTATATTTCTGAGTGGCCTTGGTCCTACAACCATCAATATGAAATTTAGCRCCTCTCTTTGATATGATWAAGCCTGTAGCTCTTGCCTTTACTGGCACACTTTACAGATAATTAAGAGAATTTTAAAAATGTTTAACTAACTTAAAGGATAATATGGATAAGTAGCAAATTGACAATTTTTCTCAGGAAAGGAAAAAACAATCTGTCTTCAGCCTGTCAGGATTTTTTTTGGTAGTTATTGTAAATATACTATACTTTGCTTTTTATTCTAAAGTTCTCTTTTTTTTGTGTGTGTGTATGTGTGCAAATGTTTCAGGAAATGCTTCAAGTACCATCAGAAGATGTGTTTCCCAAGATGGAAAGTTCAGTTGAAGAGATGGATACCTCTGATACCCAGTGGGGCTGGTTTTATTTGGCTGAGTGTGGTAAATGGCAYATGTTTCAGGTAAATACCCATGAAGTTCTGTTGGCTCTGATAGATTCCATATATCAAATTGCCTATTGCTGAATTTGTCTAAATTTGCTTTTTCTTTTATTTTGAAGACCGACTCAAACAGTCATTGCTCAATTAGCAGTGAAGATATTGAAAGGAGTTTCCGAACAAACCCCCATGGTTCTCTATCTTTTACAACTGCAAAGTTTAACTACACGCTGGACTTTTCGGGTATGTATCTTTCCATACAGTAAATTCAAATAACACAAGGTGTCAGATACACCAGTGCATTTGTTCATTCAGCAGGTTATTGTCCTCATATCTGGTGCTAAAACATGTGACTGTGAATGTCTTCTTTACTGAAAGTACCTAGGAGTTTTTAGAAACAGCTTCCCTGTTAGATATTTTTGTGTAGTTTATTAATAAAGTAGCATATCTTGTTTAATAGCACTCAGTCATGTTCCTGCTGCTTGCTTCAGCTGCCGGTGGCATGTAGGATACATCTGTTGAACTGAGAGGTTTGAACCTTTTTTCTTTAATGTGCAACTGTCTGTAATGTCTGTAAGCTTGGCAAACCTTTTCCATTCAGTCTGTATAAGAAGCATTGCTATGAAGGAAGCTTTCTGCAAAATACTTCATCGGAGTGATTTCATAATTGAGCAGGTAGTTGAAGCCAGTTCTGTTCTCTGAATAACAAGGAGATAGGCAAACGGATTTTCTGGTAGATTGTAAAGATCTCACTTAATGCTGTTCTTGTAAATTAGAGAACATTACAGGTTTCCAATGTATGTAACAAATTATAAATGCAATCTATTCTTTGTTAAAAGGTRTGTTCTAATAACGGTTTGTTTGTTTTTCTTTTTATAGATTGTTTATTTTCTGATTAAATTGCAAAACAGCTATATGCTTAAATACAGGAAACTAAGGAAATAAATACATATTCCAATATACTCCAATATTCCAATATATTTCAAATACAGAAAGTGGGGACTGAGTAAAACCTCAGTGTACTGGCAGTAAAGTGGTATCTAACAATACGAGGAGTTTTATGCTTGACTGTTTATAAAAGACTGTGTTTTGCATCCACAATAAAAAGACTAAATACAAATGTTAAAGAACAGTTTTTGTGTTATTGTCTGTAGGTCATGAATGGCTTACATTAGGGATAGTATGTTCTTCGTCATCCCATTAAAGTCAGTGGAACTTTCGCCTGTGATTTAATGTGTCTGAATGTTAGATGGATATTTTAAATATAAATGTTTTGTGTATGTTATATTTGCCCATTTTGCCACGTCATATAAATGGCAATGCATTTAGAAATGTTATTTTGAAAATGTTACTTTGTTACTTGTTGAAATAGGAATGCTGTCAAGTAACTTAGGGTGTAGTAACATTATTTTTAAAAAAAGAAAAATGTTTCATATGCTGTAGATGAATTCACAAAACTTTCATCCTAATTTTTGTTTTATGCTCAGTGATGAAGCAAATCAACCTAACTACCCTTAAGCAACGTCCAATAAAGCGAGCTCCCTTTGCTATCAATTCATTCAGGTAAGGAAATAAGAGGAAGACTCCTTCTTTTTATTTTATTCCTGATTCCTTCAAGCAAAATGAAACAAATTGTTTTATCTTTATTGTTTATATTTATAGCTTTTGGAGTCACTTGCTCTGAATACCTGTTGAATCAGAATTGCTGCAGAGAAACAGCACCAAAAAATTGAGTAGTTTGTTCTGTTGACTTCATATATGACTTAGAAATATTATTGTAACAGCAAAAAAAGATTGAGATATATTTGAGTTATATTTGCCTATGTTTTAGTAATTTACTCTAAAATGATTTAGACTTAAAAAACTTATGTTGTAGCAATTCTTTTATGAGCCTAATTGCTTTAGATTGTCAGTTTCTCACCATTTGATCRGACATTAGCTGTAAAGCTGTGCTAATGTAAATCTGGTACTCAYTGAACAATGAATTGAGCTATGCAGTGCTACTGCCACAGGTGAAATTGAGTACATGGGATATGTAGTGTTTTTTTCCCAAATAGTTTCTGAGAAAAATTATAGTTCTGAATTGTAGTATGGTTTTGCATTCAAAAAGAAATTTGTCACAAGAAATGTAGTAGCARTCTGTTTACACTGACTTTCATGAAGACCTGTTTTTTGAAGTGTCAGCATTTTTTCACTAGATATTTTCTAAATAGTGCATACAATGATGTGGCAATTTACTTTTTTTTCCCTTGAATAATTGCATTCAGTGCTCTTATTTCTRTRTGATGGCATTCTTTACTTTCAGRAGATTCCTTCTTTTAGTCCCAGTTTTAAGGCTTAAGAGCTTCTATGTATGTAGTGTGTATGCTTTAATCACTCTTTTTTAGTAGCTCTGTATAAACTTCATGGGGTTTGGTTTTTTTTGCATACTGTGTTGTTTGSAGCAGGAGTTTTGACAGGAAAAAAATGCCTCATGTCTTTCAAGTGATGTGTTTTTACCTTTTTTGTTTGAAGTTTCATCTGTGAAAATGAGGCTATCCCTATGCCTTCACACTGGGAGAATGTAAATACTGAGGAGCCATATCAGGTAAGAGTTGGTATGCAAGTTGGTCAAAAATATGTGACAATGAAATAATGCATCGAATTGAAATCGTACTAACCTCTTTTTTTCCAGCTTATTCCATTGCAAAAGAAAACAAATGAATATAATGAAGTTTCTAGTCTCTTTGGAAAAACAATGGATAGCCACCGAATTAAAAGAATTAAGAGAATACAAAATCTAGACTTGTGGGAGTTTTTTTGCAGGTGAGATTATTTCTAAACCCAACAGTTTTAGGATTGTTAATGGAGAAAAATTTAAGTCATGCTGCAGAAATATGTTTTATTGTTTTTATTATTAATGAAGAATTTTGTTACTTTTTAACTTAAAAAAAWTTTCTTATTTGTCATTTCTCTCTATTCCAAATTTAATTTTCAAGACTCTGTAGCTTCTACTGGTGCAGAAATGTAATACTTGTAGAAATGCATTAGATAAAGGTGTAGCACAGATAATGTATTAAAGACGTTCAGAATATGTGTGGTAGATGCCCATGATCCTTACARTGAAGCAAGGAGAAACAAAAATTAGCTTTTTGTAAAATGATTCCTTGAGAGACTTGTTTTATTTTAATTTTTACTGAACAAAGCAAATGAATATTTCTGTCTGGTTGAATTTTCCAACTTTGTGAAGCGTAGGACAGAACTATGTGTCCAATTAACACATATTCATGTAATTTCTCTTAAGGGTAATGTACTACAAAACCTTGTTCTAAGTTCTTGGCTTTTCCCTCTTCATATTGTGTTGGCCTGAAAGAAGTAGGAAGTGCCCAATTTGGTGTCCACTTTATTTTGTACTATCAGTCTTGAGCAGTTGTACTTGACAAAAGCTATTTGTGTATTTCGTAGGAAGGAGTAAATATCAGAAGGCTTAAAGATGTTTTGCACTAATAAAATCATCTAGACTAAGTTAAGTTGTGAGGAAATAACTAACCAGATGTATATTAAAATTTTGCATAAGTTGCTTGATTTTTTTAAGGTATGTAATTTATTGTTAATTTAAAGCTATGTCATTGACATGTATGATTAAGTGAATTTCCTTATACATGTTAATGGTTAAGAGAGTTATCCTACTTTTAGTTAAGTTTCTTTTATTCTTGGAGGAGTAAGGAAGGGGGTCAGCAGAACTGCTGCCTTGGACTTCCAGAGGTCAGACTTTGGATTATTCAGGAGACTGTTTGACAGAGTCCCTTGTGAGGCAGTCCTGAAGGCCAGAGGAGTGCAGGAAAACTGGACACTCTTCAAGAGAGAAATCCTAAAGGCTCTGGAGCAGGCTGTCCCTGTGTGCTGAAAGACAGGCAATTGAGGAATAAGATCAGCCTGGCCAAACAAAGAACTTTGGCTGGAATTCAGAGGAAAAAGAGAGTTTATGACCTTTGGAGGAAGGGACAGGCAACTTAGCAGGATTTTAAAAGATGTGATGTTTTGCAGGCAGGAAATTAGAAGGACCAAAGCCCARCTAGAACCTAATTTGGCCACTGCTGTAAAAGACGATAAAATACTTACTTTAAAATAGATCAGCAACAAAAGGAGGGCTATGGAGAATCTCCAYCCTTTACTGGATGTGGGGAAAACGTAGTGACAAAGGATGAGGAAAAGGCTGARGTATTTAAAAACTGAGGCAAAAAAGGGCTTTAACAGTAAGATCAGTTATTGTCTGGGCACCCCAGACCCTGAGCAGGGAGCAAAATAATTCTCCCATTTCAAGGAAAAATGGAACCTGCTGCACCACACAAGTCTATGGGAATGGATGGGATCCACTGGAGGGTACCAAGGGAGCTGGTGAAATGCTCACTGAGCCACGTTCAACCCTTTACCAGCAGTCCTGGCTCACTGGGGAGGTCTCAGTGGTGAGCAAATGTGATACCCATCCACAGGAAAGGTTGGAAGGAGGATCCAGAGAACTACAGACCTGTCAGGCTGACCTCAGTGCCAGGGAAGGTCACKGAACAGCTCATCCTTAGTGCCATCATGTGGCATATGTAGGACAACCAGGGGATCAGGTMCAGCCAGGATAAGTTTAGGAAAGGCAGGTCCTGCTTGACCAACCTCACCTCCTTCTATGACAGAGTGATCCACTAAGTGGATGAGGGAAGTGATGCAGATATTTTTTACTTGGGCTTCAGTAAATCCTTCARCATTGTTTCCCACAACATTCTCCTAGAGAAACTGGCTGCTCATGGCATGGATAGGTGCAGTGTTTGCTGGGTAAAAAACTCTCTGGATGACCAGGCCTAGGGAGTGCTGCTGGATGGAGTTAGATCCAGCTGGTGGCTGGTCACAGGGTGTGTYCCCCAGGGCTCACTGCTGGGGCCAGTCCTGTTTAATATSTTTATCCATGGTCTGGACAAGGGGATGGAGGAGACYCTCAGTCAGTTTGCAAATGACACCAAGTTAGATGGGAGTGTTCATCTCCTGGAGATCAGGAAGGCTCTGCAGAGGGGTCTGGACAGGCTGGATCRATGAACTGAAGCCARTTGTGTGAGGTTCAGTAAGGTGAAATGCTGCATCTGCCCTTGGGTCACAAGGCAGTGCTACAAGCTTAAACACACTGATGAAATTATTGCCTGGTAGTATATTACAAAGAAATAGGTATTCCAGCATTTCAAATTTACTTTTGGTGTCCCAGGTAGGAAGGTTAAAAAGGGAATGACTCTTAATCTAGCATCTCAGTTTGGAGTTGTCAAGGAATACAGCAAGTAAAAAAAGGTGRTGGTCAGTGAGATTGCTGACCATTTATAGGAAAAGCTTATGTGCTTACATATGKACAAAGAGCATGTCTCTGGGTATTTAGTTTTGCCATAGGTTTCACCTTTTRTTGAAGGAATAGGCTGAATGAGGATTTTCTCAGTGCTGGATCAATTTAATTTTGAACAGGATTAGCTTGTCACTRCTGGTGGAAAGTGCTAAGATGATGCTTTTTAGGGCAGTTGGAACCCTCAATTTCTATTCTAAATTACCAGTGTCCTGTTGTGGYATTTCTGCATTCTGCAGAACCAGCTTTCTATTGTGCCTGATATATTCTATTATTTACGAGGAACTTTTGCTACTTAAACTTTTATGGKTTTGAAAAAGTGTTTTGTTTAATTGATAAGATAATGGATTACATTTGATCATTGYTTGAATGATTATTTGCATYGTTGTAGTGGTCAGAACATATTTGCCTCTTACAATATTTCCCATATTAATGACAGTTCTAAACTGCCTATATGAAATWATCTGGTCAGAAATAGTGAAGGACTGTTACAGAACATCTTTTKACAATTGATTGTTCACTTTTCYCATAAATTTGTTCCATTCCYATTTCAAGAGAAGTTACTATAGGCTACATTTATGTATTGTCAGAGATCAACAGTAGAGGGCTGCCGATTGAAGAAATTTCAGATATTCAGCATTACTGGCCCCTAGATCAATTTTTGCTGGTTTACCTAGGTAAAAGTACTTTGTAATCTACCAACCTTGTTTCTCCCTTCCACCATGACATCTAAGTAGGTGGAGGGAACAAAATGTGCAAAATTACCTTTCTTTTAAAAATGTGTCTGCAGAAAATGACCACACTGAAACTAATGACAAATAAACAATGTTGATGAAATTGGTATAGGAAGAMCTTTTTTCCAAATCTTGGACTATGCCAGCAAATAGTCCACACCATTCAGAAACGTGTGATTTCTATATGTGTACCTTAAGAATTCTGATCTGTTTAAAAACTAGAGTTGTCTAGGTATTYRYAAAGTGGAATGTWTTAAATGTTTTAGGTCTGTACCCTCAAYAGTGTTTTCAGAATACTAATTTCATTTGTTTGTACATTAGTTATGTTYGTACAGCTATTTATTTATTTATYCTGTGCTTACTTAYGTATTTATTGTGTGTTTTCTGTAGGAAGAAAGCTCAGCTGAAGAAGAAAAGAGGTGTCCCAATGATTAATGAGCAGATGCTGTTTCATGGCACCAGTAATGAATTTGTAGAAGCAATATGTATTCATAACTTTGACTGGAGAATAAATGGGATGCATGCTGCTGTGTATGGAAAAGGTAAGTATTGTTGTCACATACCACATTTGGGTACTGTTAACAGTTCAACATTGTTTAGTGTTCCCTATRGAGTGTACTTTGTGATGTACACCCAAGAGTTGTTTAATATAGCTCTGYTTTAATGGCAAGTGTAATTAAGGATGCAGTAAGGAATGTAATTTCACAACTGGCTGGTAGGACCATGGAGCATGGGGAAGGGGTGCCCAGCAAAGTGCTGATCACAAGACAATCTTCCTACTAAAATGTTCACACTAAAAATATTTGGTCATATTGTAACAGCTAACAAAAGAAAGGATTGCTAATGAACATAAAAGAACTGACATTTTTCATCATCTTGATAGCTATGTTCTAGAAATCAAGCTGTCATGGTAAGAACGTCATCAGTTTTTTTTTTATTTGAAAGGGACCTATTTTGCAAGAGATGCATCATATTCCAGCCATTTCTGCAAAGAGAGCATGAAGCACGGAGATACTTTTCAGATTCATGGTGTGAATCTGCAGCCTCATCTGCATAGACCAGATAAAGTCATGTTTCTTGCTCGTGTATTAACTGGTGACTATATTGGTGGCGATTCCAAATACATGCGGCCTCCTTCGAAAGATGGAAGCTTTGTGAACTTGTATGACAGCTGTGTGGATAATACCTGGAACCCAAAGATCTTTGTCATCTTCGATGCCAACCAAATCTACCCAGAGTACTTAATAGAATTTTGTTAAGTTTGAACTGAGTATTGTTTGTGTTTTTTTGATACTTTTGTTCATTTTGTAAAGACAACAACATAAAAACATGATGCGTGAAAGAGACGTGAAGGAAAAGCTGCCATACGTTTATGGAYGAATGAAGCTATTAAATATTTAAGAGAGACTGGTGAACTGTTTTTAAAAATCTGTAAACTTTACTAATGCATTTTTCAAATGTAGAGACTTAGAAATCTGAAGTTGCTTAGTGAGCCTTAAATACATTCAGCATTGGTAAGTTTTCAAAGGCAAGATCTATGTTCTGATTTTCTAAAGTATATTAAAAATGGTAGAAATATGCCTCTAATATAGTATGCATATGATGAAACTAATCTTTTATAAAGATTGCCTATAAAACTTAAAGTAAGAACAACAACAGCAAAACCCTGGGGGACGTGGCTATATGTGTGTGTGTCTGTGTTCTGTAGTACATTTCGCTTTGTTTGGAGGTSTCTTAGTTTGGATTCTAAATCTAAAAAAAAATTACAAATCTACAGTTCCTGCATCAGTCTTCTCCAGATAAAGTTCATCAAAGCTGTTAGGTTTAACTTTATGAACATTTTACTGTTAGCTTCAATACTATACTGGGAAAATTACCAAGYCCTTKCACTAGGATTTGACCATTGGTTTTGATGGAATGAGGCCCATAAACTTGTGGTTGTTAGTTGTTTGATATATAACTGTTGGCCTCACTGTTGGGATATCAGCAGTGCCATACACCTTTCTCAGTTCTTGTCCTATGGAATTTTTGCCATCTTGTTACAGTATTCATGTGCTGCTGTGATTCCTGTCTGGTCAGAGTTTAAGATGCACTCAGTGCTCMTGTACTTGCTGTTACGGAAGACAATGTTTAAATTAACTTAACTGGAAATAATACAGTTGAAGTAACAGTGCARATATCAAAAGATGCCATCCTTTAGTTTTTAAACACTGTAATAGAAAGCTTTAAATACCAGTCATGTAGACCAGGTTTTCATAATTGATATGGTTGTAAAGTCAAAGAGTATTTTTCACGTGTAGAAAGTGCAAAAGAAACAATATTTGGGTGAAGAGCAAACTTGAACACCTAAACTTGAGAAGAGCCTGAGGAAGGGACTGTTGCAGTGAAATACACTGATGTTTTATATKATTTGCTATRAAWTTGGGTCCCTAGTGTTCTTTGTTARAGGACCTAAGTAACACTAATGGACACGGTTGAAATCTTTGGCTATGGCCAGTAACAAGTCCCTGTAGAAATGTTATATAATTGTGGCAGATGTGGAATGATCGGTGTTGGTTTGTTGTAGAATTGTTAATGGACTTTTTGGATCAAAGGCTATGTTTAGAATGTATTGTATTTAAAAGGCACTGCAGCTGCTGGCAAGACCAAGTTTGCTCAACATCATACTAAACCGGTGGAACTGGAAGCAGACAATGATGACATATCTCACATCGTAACTGAGGACACAAGTATCTCTTCCTTCTCCTGAGTGCTGTTACCGTTGCCTGTCAGTGGATCTTGCACAAGTTGTGTATCTGCTTCTGTTTGTAATTTCATGGCAATTCTCCTGTCCCTAAACCATTTAGGGCTAAAATGCATTTTCCTTTATTTTAGGAAGTGTGATTTCTGATCCCTGTTGGGAACTCTAGGTTCTACTCTTGTAGGTATGATTTGTGTTTGATTCACTACTATGCTAGCTCTGCAAAAGGCACTTTGTTCCCCACCTTGTATAAAATAATAGCGAATCACACAGGGAATTTGTGTATTACTGACTCCTTTTTATTCTTGCACAGTATTCTACAGAACATACATTTTGTGAAACTAACAAGTACATGTGCTGTTGTTCCTTTGATTTGGTATTTTATTTTCTTYTGAGGTCTAAACTGACCTTTTTAGTTAAGAAAACTGAAGTTTGTTTTTGAGCRTCTCATGGACACAAAGTACCATAATCTTTACTGATCTCAGAGACTTTCCCCATTGTTTGTATGGTGGTGTCTTGTTTGCTGCTTAATTTGAATTGAATGGCACAATCTTAATCTTACAGCACAATTGAAGTTTTACCTCTTCTTTCAGTGTTCAATGTGTTCTGCTTTTTGTTGTCTATTTTTGTGCTGATGAATTTTGTTATTGAAGATGTCTGTAAAATAACCGTCCTTTTCCTGGCAAGGGGAGAGAGATTATTATTGCAAGCAAAGTCCATAACTGTACAAGTAGGCCAATACAGGAAATAGTTTGACTTAATAAAAGGAGCAGTGAGAAAGAAAGGGAGGAAAATAATTTCTTGGCCTATAGAGTGCTAAAGAAAAGAGAAAGGATCTTGGTGTGATTCTGGGGAAGGAAACCTGCTATTTTCTGTTACTATTTCATGTAATGAARCTATGTGCTTCATTTTGGTTTTATGCCTATTCAAGAGCTTTTCATTCTCTTACGTGTCTTGATCTGAGGCAGAGCTTTCTTACTAAATTATTCTTGTGGCAGAATGTTGTCACCTGAGTACAGCACTTTAGGATGATATAGAAAAATAACATCAGSTTTTACTGGTGTCTTGGACCAGGTTTGCTTTTTACGATGGGTATGTACTGAGTTATTGCTGAACAGATCTCATTTCATCCAGAGCAATTTGGGAGAGTATCTGTTTGCATTCCAGTTCATTTRCTGGGTCAGTTTGCATGAACTCTTGTTTTTAAGTTAGAATCTGAAGAAAAAAAATCTGTTTTTTAATAGATGTTCCAGTACACTCYCATCCAAGCTACATGTGAGATGTGTAATGTGCTGGCTGGAGCTGGCAACTTAAATTTCAGGAGTACACTGGATACCAGTCCATCTGGTGTCTTGAGGACAACTCTCATCCTTTTTAAACCTTAATCAGCACAGAAGATCATAGCAGGAAGGCTCAAGTGAGTTTGTGCAGTCTGCAGAGTGAAAATTACCTTCAGGAAGATGTGCATATGCCAGTCTTAAAATTCCTTTGACCTAAATGTCCATCAGTGTTGCAGCTCTTCTAGGCCAAAACAGCAGACTCACAAAACAGCATAGGCTCCAGTATAGCCATCTACTCTTGACAAGTYACAAAAAAATACTATGGGGACTGACAGATGGAATATTTCGTAATATATTTGCTTCTCCCATACTTGCTTTTCTCTGCTGCCAGAAACCTGCAGAATTAGAAGTTTAGAGGCATAATCTTTGAGCAGGCAGTTTAGGAATATTTTGCTTGGCTGCTTTTGTTTGTTTAACTCTGATGCAACTTTTTTGTAGAAAAGCCTATGTAAGCAAGCTACACTAAAGGTCAACTGTATTTCATAGCAAATGGACTGGGGCCTAGATCTTAGCCCTTCCAGGTCGCTGGGTAGTCCAGCTTAGAGTTTGCTGGTGAATGAGGACACACAGCCCAGGCACAGCGAAAGTGGGAGGCACAGACTCTGCCCTCACAGCTGGCACCAGGCACAGGCAGTGACCATGGTCCCACGCCAGCAATGCGGAGCTCTGCTCACATCACTCGTGTTCTCCCAACAGCTATTTTTGGGAACAGACGCTGTTCCTGCCCCAGGGGTCAATCCCCCTGCTGGCTCCAGGAGGAGGAGCACATGGAGACCCCGCTCACTGCAGTCACTGGCACCAAGAGACAGGGGCACCCATCCCTCAGGTCTGACCGTGGGGACTGGCATCAAACTCCCSTCCTGCACCCAGAGGCTTGACAGCAGCTGGCATGGAGTCTGTTTCTGGGGGACATGGAATRAGCATACACAGATGCCTAAGAAAAGATTTCATAAGATAGAAGCAAGGCCACACTGCACTGGGCCGGCACAGGGCTCTGCCAAATTGTACTGACCAGCTCCATTTAAAGCCGACTGGTCTCTCTTATCCCCTTCTGTGTTAAACCTCACTTCATGATAGCTCTATTGATTCCTCACAGTCCAKTCCTCCAGTCCAACCAGTTCTAAAGTCTAGGTTAAAAGAATCTTTCACACACTTACATGCCCTTATCTATTAATATGACTGACTAGGTTTGGTTCTCATCAGTTCCTCCCTTACCATGTCAGCCAGGTTTATGTTCTTGTTCTTGGCTTCCTCCTTTTCTTATTATTCCTGTTGTGTCAGAAGAGGTAATAGAGGAGTAGTCACTCTCCTTCCACATACTCAAACAGATAATTGTGCCACATAGATGTCCAGCAATTTTGTTCCCACCTTTGTCCTAACTTAGGGATTCAGTTGGAGAGTTCACATTTCATTCCTATGGTAATGAATGCACTTCATAAGCTTGTTTGCAGTTTTCATCCTGATGCCTGGACAAGAGACAGCCAAGGTGAACAACAGCAAACCTGGAAAGTTGCATGTTCTTTCAAGTGGATTTTTTAATTGGTAAGGGASTCACTTGAATGTACAGAAACAGGAGAGTGTTCAGTGTGTAGTGCAATAAGAAAAAAAAAAATTACAGTGTAGTAGAGAGTGTAAGTATGGGGAAAGGACCTGTTCAGGCAGTAATCAGTCCATGGAATACCATAAAATTAGTTTCTCTTCCTTGTATGCTTTGAGCTGTTAGGATTTTGATACTGCTGTCATGTTAAGGGTGGCAAACCAGCTGGTTCTGGCTGTTTGCGCACTTGCAAACATTTGAAGATTAATTTACTGCTACTACTTTTAGAGTCTTTTGCAAAGGAGATTGTGACTCCACTGCTAGAAAYAAGTCTGAAGCTATGCTCTTCTCAGCTATTGACTTCGTTAACTAGAAATGTCATTCATTTATATTTTGTCTAGGGCCTTTGCATATCTTTGARGTGTTTTTGTTTCAGTATTTTCCTTTCTAAAATATCTTTGCAATTAGAGAGGGGTGAAAGAAAAAGAAGAAAGGATAAATGTATCAGAATTTGGAAGCTGCTGGGTCCATGTCCGGAGATTGTGGCAATTAGGAAGGCAGGTAGTGGAAATAACAYTATGTTTCCTATCTGAAGCCAAGGGTAGTTACATCCATTTCCTGTTTCAGTCTTCTAGGCAATAAATGCCAAATACAGTTTAAAAGGAATRAAATCATATTGACACCAAAAGGAACAACCGTAAGTGTTTCTTATCTTTACTCAGCTTCTCCAATGATACAGTTATCTTCCCTTGGACTCATAACGCAATGTAATATATAAACCAATACAGGCAGTGAGTATCTGACTGTGTGTCCAGATTTCTGGACAATCTGACTTGTGTCCAGATTTCAGGAACAACATAAGGCCTTGGCCTGCTCACCTCTCTCTTCCTGTTCCCATGCTTTGCTTGCATTCATGCTGTCATAAAGAGAAACTGATGAAATATCTGGACCATTGTTAAAAACTAATTTGGAGTGGGAATATGCTAATGCAGTTTATTGTATTAAGGGATGTGTTTGGTTACAGACCTGGAGGTGACCAAGCCACTAGTGCATGTAATCTTTTTTTCTACCTCTGACCTGGTGAAAGTTGTCCAGAAAAGTAATCCCTACTGAGAACAGTTGGTGCAAATAAGCCTTTCAAAGTATGACTGGATATTGGATACACTGTGTTATTGTCTATGTATTAACTAGGAGGATTACTTTTAAAAGACTTCTATAAAGGGACTGGCTGACATAAATACTTTCATCACAGATTTTGTTTTAATACAGCTGTTGAGAATACTGTATCCCTGACAAAGCTCTATCAGCTAATTACTGGATGTTTATGACAGTGACTGAAATAGCAGCTCTAAACTGATATTTTTAATTGTTTTGATTTTTATTATTAGTACAAGAAATATGACCCAAAGCAATGGGATAAGACAAGGACAAGAGATGGAAAAGCTGTGTGGAAAAAATACCAGTGGGAGAAAAAAGGTTACATAAGTGACATGGTGAATGACTGTACATGTACACTGGGGCTGGGGAGTGGATGCAAGAAGGAGAGAGAACATGAAAATATCACTGCTTTAAATCTGTCCTTTAAAATTTTTAACTCAGTTTTCATTCTGTTGATCTTCCTAGATGTTTAGCAATGTTTATATATTCCCAGTGGGATGGGGTATTGGCTGGAGAGTCAGGGGACTGGTAGTCAAATTTTGATGTCTTTGACATGCTGTGATGAGAGCAGACCTACAGAAGTGGTACACCAAAGATACAGAGCTGTCAGAAATGAGAGAGGTAGCTACAGCACCTCTTCTGAGCACAGTTGCAAGGAGCATGGGGACAGCAAAGTGTTGCTGTGTGCTGTAAGCATAACTGGCTGGCTTCTGGCCTCTCACGGAGCCAACAAGCTTCCTAAAATATCCCCACTCCAGCGACATTGCACACATCTTTGCAACTCTTCCACAGCAAGTGTGTGGTATTAAATTTACTGTATTTAATTGATCACTGTAGTGTGGCAAAAGGAGCAAAAATGTTATGGTTTGTGTTAACAWATCGGAGAAAATTGTGCTATTGCTCTAAATTGTATGCTCCATGAAGCAATTGATTTCTGGAAAGAAACTCTCTTCTGCTGTGTATTACATTAGATATTGCATGAGACAARGATGTGCTGGAGTCAATTCAGAAAACAGTTTCTGAAATGACCTATCTGTTTCAATAGATCTTAATTTTTTTTTTTTTGGCCTTTAGCTGCTATGGTGGTAAATATGATTGATTTTCATATTTCAGAATAGAAACCTGTGCTGTTTCTTTGTAAAAAACAGGTTTCTATCAAGCATGCTTATAAAGGTGGAGAGTTTCTGAAAGTTTTTCTTTGATGCACAAAATCCCTCACTGAACAGAATTTAATACTCTATCCATGAGAATTGCATTCAATAAGACARTATGATTCTCTTTATAGTAACTATTCATTTAAACTGAAAATCCYTGAGTGGAAGGTATGTGTCTAACAGAGCCTTAAGCTATCAGTGCACTTCAGGGCTGGAATCTATGCAATGCTTCATCACAGATAGACAGCTTGTGGACAAAAATACACAGTTTACCTCCTCAGCATAACCGTGGGGGGAATTGGTAAGGCGGTGTATAATTAATGTTGGATTTGATCCAGGATACCTTTCCTTGCTTAGGAGAGAAGATTTTTAGTGGCAGTGTTTTTAAGACTGGTTTATGGTTCAGCAAACTGTGGAATATTGAGTAAAATTAGAACTGTATCGTGGCACAGACTGAGAGAGAAGTCCTTCCACTGTACTGCTGGCTCCACATCCTCACAGGGAAACGTTCTAAAATGGTGTTTTTCTTTTAAAGTAAAAATTAAATGGTAATGCTTTTCAGTTTRAGAAACACGAAGAGCATGGCTGTAAAATGTGATGGGGAAAAAATTACTAACACGAAGAACTGGTTTTAATGTTCCCCTGGGAATGTTGTGGTTTTTAATATTTCAGAAATGGGTTTGCTTAGCCCTGAGGGAAAGGGATTGGAAGAACATGATAGACATGAGCATGCACGAAGACTCCACGTTCAGTATTAAGGGGGAAGAAATAGGTCACTGTGTATTAGATGGCTCATTTGGTTTCCTTTAAAGCCACAAGAAATAGACAGTGCTGAGCTGCAGTTAGGAAGTTGCCCTGTTTTTTGGGAACAGGGCAAATAAGCAGTAGATYTCCTTGCTTTGTAAGCTATTGGTATTTGCAAAAAAAACTGTTAATTCATGCTTTCTTATGGAACTGGTGGTGCCTTATTGGAAAAAAATCCAGTTTATGCAACAGCTCTAATTATTCATGTGCCAATGCTGAGCTGCACATGGCTTAAGGAAAACATTTTTAATGCAGGTTATATGGAAGGAAATACTTTTCTTGTTATTTTTTGGTAGTTTATTATACATTATGCCCAGGAATGGTTCATCCCAAAACCCAGAAAGTCAAGCAAAAGTGTCCAGATGCCTTCACAGATGAACAAGAAGCTCCTGACTGAGCTCAAACATACAAAGGAAGCACAAAGAGTTGGTGGCAGCACAGAAAGGTGACCAGGAGGAAAACAGTAATGCCATCCTGAGCTTGCACAGACAGGGAGAAGAATATCAAAGCAGCCAGGACAGACAACAACAACGATGAATTATTCAATGGGGAATTGAGGGAATCTCTCTGGTCCATCTGCCCTTGTCCTTGTGGAGAGTTTTAGCTTCYAGACATCAACTGGTTAGTATCATACAGTGGACATTAACAGATTCAGGAAATAGCTGAAGCACATTGAARATAATGTCTTGGTGCAGGTACTACGGGAGGCAACTAGGATAGGTGCCTTYCCAGGTTTGCTGTTTGTAAACAGAGAGGGTCT